TATATATATATATATATATATATATTTTTTTTTTTTAAATGTCCAATTAGTTTAATTAAATGTGCTGTGAAAATAAGCATGGGCTTCTCTGTTTTCAAACCCTTTGTTTATGAGATAACTAATTTAGCCTTCGAAGAAAACAATCATTGTAAATGTCAATCAAACAAAAGAAAACAAGGAGAAATATCATCTGCTGCCTCTGAACAACTGCTTCATGAAAAGACGATCGTGTAGCAGCGGTTCTCAAACTGTGGGTCACGACACCCTTTTTGGGGGGTCGAACGACCATCGCACAGGGTACGCCTGAAGGCCATCGGAAAACACATATTTATGAAGTAGCAAAGAGAATAATATTAGGTTTCGGGGGGTCACCACAACATGAGGGGCTGTATTAAAGGTTCGAGGCATTAGGAAGGTTTGAGAAACACTGACGTATAGGAAGTGGGGGGGGGGGGGGATGATGGGGGTGTCCGCCCCCCTCGTCATCTTTTTTTTTTTTTGTGGGGGACGGCACTGCCAACTCCAGAGTTTTTTTCTTGTGGGGGCAAGGGGTGGCTCTAACTCTAGTAACGCCACTTAAGGAAAGACACAACCCCCCCCCCCTGAGGGTGTATTATCTAAAGCAGCGTTTCCAAAAAACGCCGGGTTGCAACCCGGTACCGGGCCACGAAAGCAAAATTATCGGGTCGACGAAAGAAGAAAGGGGAAAAAAAAGTTGAAAATCTAGGTTAGGTCATGGTGACATAATAATTTATAAGTCATTGGTAACTTTGATTTCTTTAAATGCATGTATGAGTAAATGCTTATGATGTATGAAAACTGTATGGATGTTCATATCTGCTGCACGTTACATATAGGCCAGTAAAAATGTTAGTCGGTCACGACGCAGAAGTATCAAAATGACCGGGTCACGAAATAAGAAAGTCTGGCAAACGCTGGTTTCAAGCGACCTCTGTAGTTTAAGTGATGCCTAACCTTGTCAGATAGGAAAGCCGAAGGCTGAATTTGGTGTTAAAATTAAAATTTTTCGATTTTGTTTTACGACCTTGACCCACTCTACGATAGGCTGATGGGACATTGTATATTTATATATTGGCCTGGGGTGAAATGATTTTGCGTTTTGTTTGTTTTTTTTTTTTTTAAATGGATTTTAACATCAGCTTCTGATGTCTAACAAACGGTTTGGCTGTCGACGTTGGGGGTTGAAGCAGAGAGGGTGTTTCGTCATTTATGGTCCATGACTAAACGGCCCCGATTTATCAACCCTGACAAAACAAATCGGCCCCGACTATAGAGCCCCCGAAAAGGGACCCCCAAATAATTGAGCCCCTCCCCCCCCTTTTATAAAAAAAAATGCTACTGGTAATATGGCTCTCGACTGTAAACCCCCGAAAAGGGACCCCCAAATAAATGAGCCCCCCCCCCCCTTTTATAAAAAAAAATGCTACTGGTAATATGGCTCTCGACTGTAAAACTGCAAAAAATAATGCTCCATACATATCTAATGGCAACATCTTTGAAAATACCTTTGAAATTTAATGTGATACATTTGAAACATTAAATCAATATTTATCAGCATGATTTGTATAGTTCCCCTGCTTCGAAGATCACCAAAATGGCCACTTTTGAATGAACACCGTATTACATTTTGATTGATAAATGGCAAGAGCTATAGCATTGGTCAATACCTTTTTTTTTAAAAAAGTAAGACATATATTTTAAAATTAAATGTGTCTTTAGCTACAGATTAAATATTAAATGAAAACTCCATGTTTACAAGGGTCATTATAAATGTGGCTGGTAACACCTCAATTTCTTTATATCTTGATGACACTTGAGGATTTTTAAAAAAATAAAAAATTCCCGATATAGTACATTGCGTTGTATATTGGTGGTGCACATTATAACAAGTATCACATAGTTGAGTGGCAGAAACGGTAGTGGTACAGTGTCATCACACGGTAGTGTTACAGTGTCATCACACGGTAGTGTTACAGTGTCATCACACGGAAGTGTTGCAGTGACATCACACGGTAGTGTTACAGTGTCATCACATGGTAGTGTTACAGTGTCATCACATGGTAGTGTTACAGTGTCATCACACTGTAGTGTTACAGTGACATCACACGCTAGTGTTACAGTGTCATCACAAGGCAGTGTTAATGCAGGATCAATTAAAAGTTTGTTAAAGACTAAATATAAATGTTTGTGGAAGTATAAATATGATTATTGTCAGTATAGCTGACAAATATAGTATAGTTTCTAGCTGCTATGCTCTTCCCAAGGAGTATTTATCAGGGACATCGTTTGGGTAGAGCAGGGGGGCATTTCCCCCCCCCCCCATTTTTATTTAAATTGCTATATGCACTGTGTTGCCTCCACTAATAAACAAGTTAACAAGCCAGACAAGCTTTGGTTTTGCCGCCACCCCCTTTTTTTTTCTTCCCCTGATAAAAACCTAAAATGACGCCCCTGATGGGCATAGTCCATAGTAGCTGTTTATCATTTTCATCCTGGGGAACTGATATACCAGACAAGTCAACATCATCCTATACTACCCATTCAGCACTTAAAATCGAAGCATTGTCTGTGTGACCAATAGTCGCCATAACTCTCTCTGTCTTTGAGTTGGTGTAGTTGTTATTGAACACCGATGAGTTGGTGTTGTTTTTTTTTTTTTAAATTGAACACCGTGTACAACGATGTGTTAATCATTTTACTGAGTGGATTAAGAGAAAAATGACAGGTGAAGAGATGTCGACTTTTGACTTCTCTTGCACTAACAAAGTGTTCTAACATTCTGACCAGGCATCTGGAGTGCACACAGATAGACACACATTAAATATCTCTCATAGTGTTAAAAGCCTAACCATATATGACTATTTACATTTATTAAATTGTTTAAAATAATGTAAGAACCAGTCAATTCTTAAGATTAAAGTTTTAAAGGAAAAAAACATGATTGTTGACGTCAACTAATCTAAACCCCCTTCCTCCCCCTTGTCAAAAACTGTCAAATATTTCCACTCCCCCCCCCCTATTTTGTTGACGTTATTAATGGACGCCCCCTGTTGAATTATTAAGGTGATGTATTTTTGTTAAAATTTCAAATGAGACCTGATCATTGATGAACAAAAACAGTTCAATGCAATATTTGTTTTAATTTATTTTAGTGGGTGTGTGTTAAATATAACGGACCAAGATTTTTTTTGTTTTTAAAAAGTATCGATAAAATAATTATTTATTTTTAAAATAATATCATTCAATAACCGTTATAAATATTAGATCTAAATCATTTAACCCCCCAAAAAAAAGATTTATTCAATTGGAAGTTAATCCATTTTTTAAAATATTTTTTTTTGTGTGTGAAAAAATCCCAACAACACCAAATAACGGAAATAAGACTTTCTCAGACATTTAAAAACCACAGTTTGCGTTTCAGTGTTGTTGTTTTTCTTCTTCTTGTTTTCTTTTTAATGTAAAAAAAAAAAAAAAAAAAAAAAGGGTAAAAAAAAAAAAAAAAAAAAAAAAAAAAAAAAAAAAAAAAAA